AAGGCGGCCGGGAACACCGCTCCTAAAAAGAATAATTTATCTTGATGGTTTTTGGTGGGGTCAAAAGCCACCGTGGTGCCCCCGTCGCCTGGCGCCCCGTTTACGCGAGCCCCGAGTCGATTCCCCTCAGATAAGCTGCGTTTTTTTTTAGGAGAAGCGCGTCGGTTTTGAAAGCCAGTCGGGTGGGGAATCCAGCCTGTGCTCTCGTCGGCTGCCTTCCTTGCTTAATTATTCGTCCCGTGCGCTCTGCGCTTTTAATTTTAGCTGGACCTATAGATTTTCAGCGTGTTCCTAGAGGCCGCCGTCCAGCGTAGGCCGCGTGGCTAAAACTTAGCGGGTTTGTGCCCCCCACCACGTGAGGGTTTTGGGTTTTTTTGCCCCCCCCTCGCTGTTCCCGAATCCTCCTTGGTTTATCGGCGCCGGGTTGTGAACTCCGCGCCGTAGCTTTGCGCCTGAGGTGCCCGTTGCCGCACCCCGGCTGACCGGTGTGTGCGTGTGGCCCCCCCCGCACCCCGGATCGATGCTGCTCTTCGCCTTCCCGTTCATCCGTAAAGGATGCCGGCGAGCTGAGATTTTATTCCACGTTGCTGATTTTTAAAAAAAAAAAAAAAGTTGGACGTTTCAGGGTCTGGAGCCAATCTCCGCTGTACCCCATTAGAAACACTTAAGAAATCTTTATCGATGCTTATCTCAGGGATTTCTGCTTTGAGGGTTATTATAAGGGGACTAAAAGTGCATTAAATATAGGATGATGAGTTCAGTCCCCTGTAATTAATGTCTAAACGTTACAGAAGCTCCTGCCCTTCTGAGATGATTTATTTCCATATTGTAATTTAAATCCTGGAAGGTTGAGATAATATATGGAAATGAATCGCCTCCGTATTCCACGTAACTTCCACCTCGGCACCGTGAAACTTCTGGGGGAGCGAACTCCTCCCGACTGCTTCGGGGGGCCTGGGCCCGCCCGGTCCTCCCCTGCTGTGGGGGTTTTCAGGTGCGGATGAAGGTGCACAGGGTTATCGGAGCTTATTTAATACGCTTCTATGCGCGCTCATGTTAAAGAATGTATATTAATGCCTCCTGCATCGGAATTGCTAATGAGGTTGCCAACGGGGAGTGTAGCAAGCTGTCGACGGCGCCGTTTCGTGTAGCTCTGGCCTGGTTTCGTCGTTGATAGTGCAGATTTCTCCCCATCGTCGCGCTTTGTTCGGCTGTGCTGACCTTGCTTTGCTGCTGGCAACGTTCCCGGCAGTCAGCGGGGATGCGGGGAGTGTCCGACCCGGCGTTTACGAAGTTGATTTTCAGACTTGCCCCTTTCCTCCGTCCCGTCACCGATTTTCCTTGCTGCGGTGACAGCCAGGGGAGCGATGCCGGTTTTCCTTAAACCGTGGTAGTATCGGCAGAATTGCTTGGCGTGACTTCCAGTGAGAACCTTCAAAAAAAAAACCCAAACCAAAAAAAAAACCCCAAAAAGGCTTTTTTTTTTTTTTTTAGGTCATTGCTTTTAATCTTTTACTTCAGATGGTAAAAACATTTCCGGAGCCGGAGCCCTGCCTGTGCTCTGCAAACTGCTTCCCTGGTGTGCTTCCAGCCTTGCTCTTGCAGAGCGTTAATGGGATCCGAGGCCGGGCCCGTTCCTTTCGGACCCGGGCTTTGAGTGTTTGAGCATCCCTTCACGGGAGCAGGAGCTGGGAGTTGCTGTGTGAGGCCGCCGCCTTTTTCCTTCCCGCGTGCGTTGCGGAGGGTTAAAGGAGGAGGTGCGCGTGCTCCGTGTCTGGCTAGCTAGATCCGATCCAAAGCGCAAAATAATTCCGCAGATGTTGTCCAAGCTGTTAATGCACAGACTTTTGAAATGAAACATCGTGAAGTTTGCTCTGGGTGCTGCTTGCCTGGCTCGTAGGTGGAGGTGTGGGAAGGGAAGATGGAATGCAAGCTGCTGCAGTGCTGCGACGTAGCAAAACTCCCGTAAAAATCTCCTTTCACCTCTTGCAGGCCTCAGCGTTTCAGGTGGAGGAGGAGCTGAAGGAGCAGCAGCAGGAGAAGGCGGCCAGCCTGAGACGTTTCCAGGGAGAGGTGAAGCAGCGGGTGAACCAGCAGGTCAGGATGCGAAGAAAGCAGCAGCTGCAGAAGTCCTACGAAGCGGTAAGCAGATCTCCGTCCCTGCCTCGCCAGCAGTCTTGCAGGAGAAACTCCTGAAACCAGTGTAAATCGGGGGGGGGGGGCCCCGCT